TTGGCCACAAGGATTGTTAGTTAAATAAGCTAGCGAATAGCTGGAAGTAAGTCGTTACGATAAAGACAGCAATATGGGCACGACGATCGCTTGCTAAATAAGCTAGCAGTAAGTTGTTATAATAAAGACAGCGATATGGCTAAGAGGATGGCTAGCTAAATAACCTAGCGAATAGCTAGCGATAAGTCAATACAAAAAAGACAGTAATCTGACCTCAAGGATTGCTAGCTAAATAAGCTAGCGAATAGCCAGCGACAGTTTGTTACGATAAAGACAGCAATTTGACTACGAGGGTCGTTAGCTAAGTATATATTTTTTAATTTTTTTAAGTTTTCTTTTTTATTTTTAGGTGCCCCAAGAAGACGTAACGGAGCACCGTGGAAGTGCATTTAACCAGAATGTTCATGCCTCCTTAACGTAGGGCCAAAATATGTCCAGAGCTCGTTTCGAGCCTGGATCTTCTGCTTATAAAGCAGGCGCTCTAACCACTGCGCCACGGCCGCACATATATATATATATATATATATATATATATATATATATATATATATATATATATATATATATATATATATATATATATATATATATATATATATATATGTGTAATAGAGTTAACTCTATTACATATATATATATATATATATATATATATATATATATATATATATATATATATATATATATATATATATATATATATATATATATATATGTAATAGAGTTAATTATTTTCTAGTGAATTAAACTCTTTAATTGAAACAGCTGGCGAATAAAGTTATTTATTGGGTCTATCCCAGTTTTTTGAGATGGTAAAGAAAAGGAAAAAGATGAATGCAACAACGGTTGAATTTGTGAAACAGACTGCCATTCTGATGGAAACACTATCTGTTTAACTGGCAAGTCATCTAGTTGATCCACTGAGACAGAGACAGCCAAAAAAATCAAAATTAAGATTAACAATGATTATAAATACTCTTGAATTTTATAAAAAATCTTTCACAATATTCTAATTACATTACAGTTTTTTTTTTTTTGAATTTAAAAATTGCAACTAAAAAAGCAAATAAACCATTAAAATGAAACAAAAAAAACTATTATATGTACGAATAGGATAAAAAAAATTTTAAATGTATACTGAATTGGAGCGAGAAAACTCAACTTTACTTAAATTAAATACTCAATATATTTTCTGCAAAGCTTAGTGTAATGATTACAATATAAATAACTTATTGAGTTGGTTTCAAAATAACCACATTCAACGGTGAAATGCTCTGGTATTTGCTTTTACCCACACGATCAATAAGTTTAAGGAGTCCATTTTTATGGGTAACTTTTTTTTAATATAAGATATTGCATTTTTCAATAAGCAATTTTGAATCAATTCCAACTGAAAAGTACAAAATAAAATGAAAATTTAATTTTTTAAAATTATTTTGATTTAAAAATTTTTTTTTACTAAAACACTCCTTATTTTTTAATTCCAACAGGGAAATAAAATACTTATCTGCAACATACATGACGCATTTACATAATCCTTCTGCATTGCCATTTTTTGAAGGCCATCTTCCTTTAATGTTTGACACAAAATCTAAAATCATCTATAGACCTTTTTTTAACTTCTCAGACATTATTATTTTACAGTTTTTTAAATCCAGAATTCACTGTCACAATACAAGTTAACAATATAATTCATCTGAAACAAAACAATTGTAACACATGCATATAATAAAACACAGATCTTCTGCTAAATAATATAGGCATAGACTTAACAAATCTTTCAACACATTTAAATACAATAACCTTATAAGCAAAAATTCATCAGAAGCTTAAACATACAATCCAAAGTGCAACGTAATAAAATGATTATAATAACATCTAGATAAAAAAGTAGCTGTAATTTTACTATCCTACTGTTGACATCTTTATTTTTTTAATGTATGTATATATATTCTTAATTTATGAGTCTGTTTTAACTAGTATGATTTCCACATATAGCATAAAATATTGTCATTAATACATACTTTGAATGTGTCTAATTCACCTTATGCAACTTTAAACTTAAATTAGGTGTTTTAACTTTACATTAATTTTTAACTCTTCTATTGCGTTTAATTTTTTCGCAATAATTTCTAAAAAATATATTAGTGTTTACATAATAGGTTAGTGACAGGGTAATTGGCTCCAAGTAGTGTGCCTTTTTAGTGTTGCAACATGAGCGAGGCTTGGCGTCGAAATGGGTTTTTATACCGATTTCGATGATAAGACTCCGAAGGGAGTTTTTTGAAGTTAGTGAATTAAACATTCGAAACGTAATAATACCAGGGTAGAGACCCCCTCAAAAGGGTCAATACCATAACCATTCCCTGATGAGAATCTGGTATTTACACTACTTAATATGTTTTTATTTTTCTCAAAACACTAATGTATTTTTATGCGTATCTTTTTTAAATTCTATATGCGCGAAATTTTATTTTTGTAGCCAATATTTTGTCTATATTGTTCAAATGTCCTGCTCTTTACTTTGTATTTTGTTTTTGTAATATGCATCAGTTACCATGTTATTATTAAATAATATTATAATGATATATTGTCCCATGATGTTTTATTGTTAGTAAGCACTAACAGTCTGTTTGTTTTAATTTAAAAAAAAAATACTAAGTTTTTATTTGATGTCATAATAATAATATCTAAATAATAAGAGTAGAAATCCCTAAGTAAGAACCATTTTCACACACTTTTTTCGAGATGTAATTCAAATTCACATCTATAAGACTATAAGCTCCTCTCATTTAATCAAGTTCATAAGTTGTATAAGCGAGGCAAGCATACACATTTCTCTTCGAGCTTCATATTGTGTGATGTCATATACACGCATTTTTTCTGCACGACCTTATATGTTTGTGCATTATTAATTCCTAATTTTTCAAGCACTATTTGAAACGCTTTTTCTCATGCTTTATTTGACTAATTTTAAGCTGACCTGCGCCCAGTGTGTTATTTCCTAGGCGCTTAAATTCTAGCTGCTCCCCCTCCTCTCCATTTTTTGCGTATTATGTAATGAGTTTAATATACGTAGACAAAAATTTTTTTTTAAATTTATGTATAAATTCGTGTGCTTGAGGTCTGTCCTGTATTAAAATGTATAGATCTACTTCTTTAATAAAATAATATTTTCTTATATCAATCATATCTTCTCTTCTCTTGTTCTAAGCTTGAGGTCTTCTTAATACTTTTTTCACCTCGTATTTTATTTCCTTATAATATGTCTTTCTATCTTTGTTTTTATTTTTATTCTTTAGACTTAATTTCTTAAAAATCAAGTCTCACGTATATAACTCTCATGCCCGCGCGCGCGTTTTCATATTGCACGCTTATTTCTTTTTGATTTTATTTTTGACTGCATTAAAGAATTAAATTCTCACTAATATAATATGTTCTCATACTGCTACACAAATAACGAGCTTTTTTGAGATAAATATTTTTTATCTAAAAATATATTTATTTAAAAAATTTTTATTACTCAGCTGCGCTGATTTCTACTTAAGTCACTCGATGTATGCGCACTCCGCTGCGCCACTTCCTATTTAAGTCAGCCGTAAAACAAAAACAAAAAGCACTCTATAAGCGACTGAACTTATTCATAATTGATCAATACAAGTACACTGTACAAGTCATCTCACTCATAAGTCATAGTAACATCGTTTTAAAAACGCTTGTCATTATTTATTACACACACATGCTGAAAACTATTAAAAGTTTATATTACCAGTCATACACCTTTACTGATAGAATCCTATTGAAATACGTTTCTCTAAAGTATGTAGACCTTTTTAGAAATACAACGTTTACAATTTTACATTATATACTATTAAATCCTTGCATATAATAACATTGTTGAGCTCTTTCAGTTAGGCAAATGGTATCTCGCCGCGGCGATCAAGGTTCGCATCCCGCTGCTGACACACATTTTATTTTTGTTCTCTTTTCACCTAGATAACATTTTACCTACATGTTTTAGATATAAAGACCTCTCATAATTGTTACATAACCTCTTTTCTATTTATCTTCAAAATTGTGTCATGGTTAGGGTTAGAGTTATGGTTAGGGTTTAGTGTTAGAGTCAGGGTAAGGTTAGAGTTAGGATTTAATTAAGGGTTAGGGTTAGGGTATATGTTAGGGTCAGGGTTTGGGTCGTGGTTGGGGTTAGGGTTAGGGTTAGGGACTAGGGTTAGAATTGTTTATAATTTATAGTAGGACTCGAAAACCAGTTAATTTAATGGAACACATGCAGCCGTGGGAACCTCAGTGAAAATAATGCAAGGATTATATTAGAGTCAAAGTTAGCTATAGAATATTACAAATTGTTCGGACAGATTCTATTAAAACTTTGCTCATTATGCCTAAATTCTAATCGCTACCCTGCTTTATAATTCCTACTTAAAATAATGATGAAATGTACGTAAACAACTTTGAAATAACATAAAATAACTTTTGCTTTAGTTTTGTGCTTTTATAATTGGACATCGGTTCAAACACTTCATAATAATCTTTAGCTAACTCTGACTCTAATATTATCCAAGCTTTTTTTTTACAGAGGCTCCCACGGCTACATGTGTTCCACTAAATTAACTGGTTTTCGAGTCTAGTTATGAATTACAAACAACCCTAACCCTAGCCCCTAACCCTAACCCCTAACTCTAACCCTGACCCTAACCCTAACCCTGACCTTAACCCTAACTCATACCCTAACCCAAATTCTAAATCAAATCCTAACCCTAACCTTGCCCTGACTGTAACCCTAAACCCTAACCATAACTCTAACCCTAACCATGACATAACTTTGATACGCATAGAAAGCAGGGTAATATTAAGAAAATATTTTGTAAAAGTAAGTAGGTAATAAATTACTTTTGTAAAATTACTTGTCAGTTGTTATATTAAACGTTAAAACTTTGTAAAAGTCGTTTAATAAAGAAATTCAAAAGTAAATGAATACATTTAAGTAATTGTTAGATTTATTTTTATTTAACATTATTTTTTTTAAGTTTTTCTCTCCATATTAAGATAAAGTTTATATCTTAAAGTAGATTGAAGTTCTGGCATCTGGAAATAAACTTCTTCGCCATTAGACAATAAAGGTGTGCTACTCATGTATCGCTGGAGGTCCTGGTAAATCTGTAGAAAGTCAGTTGTCATGTATTTTTCCTGAATTTGTTTGCAAAGTTCAATGACCCACGGGCTGTAAAAGTTTTTCATTTGAACATCATTATCTGAAGGCATAGATATTGATACAAAAGACTCAGCAGTAGAAAAACCAATAAATAAGTCAGCAAATTTTGCCGTATTTACATTCTTTTCATTAGATTTAGCTTCAAAATTAGTTAGGGTCATTTGTTGAAAATCTTTATCGAAGCCGCGACAGCTTTCGCAAAAGACCAGTTTGGGAATATTTTTCAGCCAAGAGTTATCCTCAAGCATTTTTTTCAATTCAAGTATTGAAAATGATTTTTTGTTATTAGTTTCATTTGGTCCAAATAGTTTACCATCCTGTCCATGAGCAATGAAAAATATTGAAAAAATATTGTACTCGCCATATGGTTCCTTTAAAACTTCTTCTAAATTTTTTTTCATCTCTTCAAAGCTATTCGGTTTATAAACTACGACTTCAAATTCTATTTTGCTGAAGGTTGCTTTAATTTTTTTGACATCATATTTTGCTGCAAGTCTATGAGTAGTCTTTTCATCATTGTGCATATTGTTAAAAATGAAAAGTTTGCCAAGTTTTTTACGTGTCATAGGATAGCATTGAGCTAAAAATTATAAAAATTAAATATAAATTACAACGTATATTAACGCAAACTTTGAAAATTTATTTTCCTTTTAAATTTAATGCAAGATTATTGCGTTTTTTTGAAAATTAATTTAAAAAAATAATTTCTTTTATAACAACGCAAAATATTATGCGGTCGTATTTATATTCATCTGTTCTTTAGCTTCTAAATAAAAAGCTAAAGAGTAGATATTTAAAAAAAAATTGATATATCATTCAAGAGTAGTACTGTAATAAATTTTACGGACTATTGCACAAATTTACCTCAAATATAGAACGCCAAAACTCTTTATTCTTTTACATGCAACTTTCACTTATACTTTAGAGTTAAACTTAATATGTTTTATTAAAGACACTAAGTGAAAGGAAATTAGGGAGAAAAGTTGTTTTAAGAGATATTTTGTATTAAAAAATTTGTTTGTATTGCAATCAAAACGGTATTTATTGTTGAATTTATGTAGAATATATATATATATATATATATATATATATATATATATATATATATATATATATATATATATATATATATATATTGTTGAATATATATATATATATATATATATATATATATATATATATATATATATATATATATATATATACATATATATATATATATATATATATATATATATATATATATATATATATATATATATATATATATATATATATGTATATATATATATATATGTATATATATATATATATATATATATATACATATATATATATATATATATATATATATATATATATATATATATATATATATATATATATATATATATATATATATATATATATATATATATTATATATATATACATATTTATATATTATATATATATAAGCCCGGGGGTTAGGGTTAGGGTCAATACTTAGATAAGTAATAACTGTTTTATCAGCGCCACATAAAAATGTTTTCAGTTAGTTTTTATTTTCACACTTTGAAAAGGAATTTAAATTTTATAAGTGAGTGAATTTGATTTTTAATACTGAAATACTGAATATTTAAAATTATTTTCTGTAATACAGATTGGAATCGGAAATTATCAGGTTGGCAAAACAAACAAAATAGGGAAAATAGGCTGAAAGAGCAATTTAAAAATCAAAAAATGTTGAACAGCCTTCTGCATGTTAGGCAAAATGAAGATATTTCTGATAAGATAGTTAAATAACTCGTTACACATGAGCGTGAGTATGATGAATATATTGTAAGTAGTGAGAGGTCTCTATTTGAAACTGACAAAACTAACGTTAATGTTGAATTAGCACTTGTACAGCTAATCAAGATAAATGTTTGATAGTAAGTTAGAAAAAATATTCTAAGAATATATCTAGCTGTAATGATTTTGTGATATGACGGATTGGCCGCAACATTGGCAGAATCTGCAAATTCAAAATATAGTTTTCAAAGAACGTATACGAGCTAATATTAACCAGTACCTAAAAGACAGTTTGGGTAGATCATTTAACAAAATACATTTTCATTAAAAAACAACAAATGGTGAATTATTTAAAAGAACCTTGCTTGTATATTCATCCAAAGTAGATCAGGTGTTCTGTTTTTGTTGTAAAATATTTAGTAGCGATAAATTTGCCTTAGCAAAAAGAGGGAAAAAATGATTGGGGCCGCATAAAAATAATTTTAAAAAGATATGAGCAAAGTACTGAGCGTTTTCGATGCTAAGGCAAGTGGATTAAGCTTGTAGCCAAGCCGTTGGTTGTTTAGCTAATAAGTTATACTTTAGTGAAGTAGAACATTGGAATGAAGTGCTCAAGCAAATAGTCTCAATTGTTTTTATAATAGCCTCAGAAATTATTGCATTTAGAGGATCTTCAGACAGAATATTTACCGAAAGTAGTTGTAAATTTTCTAAAATTGTAGAGTTGTTTTCAAAGTTTAATCCGGTTTTAGAGAAACATGTTAAACGGGCAATAGAAAATCCAATAAAGCCTCATTACTTGGGAAAAAATATCCAGCAGGAAAATATATTATTGATCGCTAAAGCTACAATGGATAATATTTTAGAAATAGTAAAAAATGAAATGTATTTTTCCGTTATTGTAGACTGTACAACTGATGCCAGCCATAAAGAACAAATGTCAATTGTTCTGCGTTACTTCCACATAACAAAATCGAAGGTAATAATGCTAGTATGGATGTTAAAGAAAGTGTTTTTGAAATTTATTAATATTTTTGATTTAACCTGAGCGAAAATGACCGAAGAAATATAAACTTTTTTGACACAAAATGGCTTATCAATTATAAATCTTCGTGTTCAAGGCTACGATAATGGAGCCAATATGCGTGGAAAAATAAACGTTATTTAGGCTCTTGTTACAATTATATATCCAAGGGCTTTCTTCATTGCATTTATCTGCTACTTCTTAAATTTAGTTGCTGTTAATGCAGTGCAAGGAGCTAGTAAAATTATCTTTTTTTTTTTCAACCATGCAAACAATTTACAATTTTTTCTCAAGATCGCCAAAGCGTTGGCATATTTTCATATCCATGTGTTGTAAATTGACAGTAAAATCATTAAGTAATCACAATGGGAAAGCCATGTTAAAGCCTAATGGCTTTGTGAAGTGCATTGTAAAGCCGATTGAAAGGCATTTATTTAGCATTAAAAGAAGTCGCTCAATTGGAAGACGATACCCTTACACGCATTAAAGCTGAATTATTCGCATCTAAAGTAGACAGTTTTGAATTTATTTGTGGTCTGATAATCTGGCAAGTTGTTCTGTCAGAAATAAATTGTACGAGCAAATTATTACAATCGCAGAGCACGGATGTGAGATCAGCAGGTATTGTGTTAAAAAACAACTGAGTTTTTGATTTCTTGGAATTTCGAAGTTTTTTTTGCTAATTATATTTCAGAAGCTAAAGTATGCGCTATAAATGCGGATTTACCTAACGATTTTAGGCCTGAGGTAGAAAATCGGCTCCGAAAAAGAACTCTTTTTTCTTTAGAGAGGAGCCAAAAGCACTCAACTCCATTAATCCTAAGATGAAATTCAAAAGAAAATTTTATGACTTATTATTTACATTAGCAATTTCTTCAATGAAAGAATGTTTTAAATCATTTAAAAGTGTTATGCTATCTTTTGAACTTTTGCATGTTAAATAATGTGATGAAATGGAGAACAATGAACTCATAGAAAAATGTAAATTATTATAAACAACATTAACTTATAAAGAAAACAAATATCTTGACGCAAACGATTTAAAAATTGAACTGAAGTTGTTGTTTTGAAAATTAAAGATGATACTAATCCAGAAAACATTTTGATGTGGATTTATAATAACAACGTTGAAGAAATCTTTCCAAATGCACTGATTGCATTAAGAGTGCTACTAACTTTGCCTGTTTCCGTTACTAAAAGTGATAGAACTTTTTCAAAATTAAAAATGATTAAAAGTAAGTAATTCAACAGAGCATGCTATTATTCAGCTAACAAAAAGTACTTCAGACTTTCCAACAAATCCAATTTTCTTCAGAATATATACTGATTTAATAAGAAATCATTGATTTTATATAAAACTTTATATAATATTATTTATACGCTTGATTTATGTGATCATAAAACTGATTCTAAAAAATTAGTATTATGGTATAACAGGCAATGTTTTCAAATGGTTGAAATTATATATATATATATATATATATATATATATATATATATATATATATATATATATATATATATATATATATATATATATATATATATATATATATATATATATATATATATATATATATATATATATATATATATATATATATATATATATATATGCATTTATATATCCCGATGACTTTTGTTATTTCAAAATATTTAATTTTAAAAACTTATTTTAATATAATAAATACTTATATATACATTTAAATGTTATTAAGTTTATATTAGTTTAACATACTAACTAACATATTATCTTATAAACATTCCTAGTTTTAAGTTTCTTCAACTATTTCTTCTAAACCTGAAGCTGTTTTTCACTGGTTAATGAATACAATTTAAATTGAAAAGTTTGATTTTTGCTATTATTTACTTGGCCTGTATAAAAGTAAGAGTATAAATTAAATAAAAGTTATTATTATAAGTAATAAAATAATCATTAGGTTTACTATTTTCAACTTTGAATTAATAAAA